AAAACTGAGATTTCTTTATTTTTCAGATCTGGGGGGAGATGTTCTCTCCTCTGCATGCGCTGAACTTTGGCCTCGCTGGGGACACCACCTGTAACGTTCTTTGGAGGCTGCAGAACGGAGAGCTAGAGAACATCCGGCCAAAGGTGGGAAAGCAAGACGCTCATTAAAACCACCTGTTGCCTGCTGGAAGGCTCCCAGTGTAAAGCGGTGAACTAGCTCTTTGTGTTCTTGTTAAGGTGGTGGTTCTGTGGGTAGGAACCAACAACCATCAGCACACAGCAGAGCAGGTTGCAGAGGGAATTGTTGCCATTGCTCAGCTGCTCACTAACCGCCTTCCCAAAGCAAAGATTGTTGTACTGGTGAGTTTACTGGTTTGATGTCACCATATTGGTTTATAACCTGAAACTCTCTGCTGCTTTAGTTTTGCTTTTCTTTTTCAAATGGGGAGTAACTCTATGGAGCCTGATTTTTACAGGTTTATTGGGAAATAATTCCTGGGAAATTATTATTGTTATTATTGTTTCATGAAAAGAGTTATTGGGAATCAACTACAGAACTACAGTCTATAGTAAGGTTGCAAAAACCAGTGGTGGAAAAAGTACTCAGAAATGGAAGTTAAGTAAAAGTACAAATAAATCCTCCAGTAAAAGTGAAATGTATCACACTGACATTTACACTTGAGTAAAAGTAACAAAGTATTTGTTTTAAAAAATGCTTGGAGTAAAAAGAGTTTTTTTTAAGGGACTGCAATTTTTTATAACGATAATTATGTGTACGTACTATATTTATATTTTCAGTAATACATCAATCCTATTTATTGAACAATGCTGTGGATAATGCATGCTTTATTTTGACCTTCTGTCTAAGGTCACACTTGGAATTTATAATTTGGGATAATCTGATAAGTGAAATATTAAGTTTAAGAAAGACGACAGATTAAACCTTTATAAGTGTTTAATTCTGCAGTTAGGACATTGATACAAGATCAAACTAACTGACTAACAGGCTCTGATCTTTTTTAGTGTAGTTTTTAACTCCAGTATCATCATAAACTCCACAGTTTAACAATACCCTAAAAGCAGCTTTGTAATGCAAAACACCAGAATCAAATAATTTGATCATTAATAGAACTCTGAGGATTTCTTGCTTAATTCATAAATGTAAAAGCTGCAGGACGGAGTTCCTCTTCTCTGGATCCAGGTTCCTTCTTTTAGGTTGAAGATGCAGTGAGAGCAACGTATTGTTGGAGATGAGGGATGTGCTTTCTCTGAAAAAGAATTTAGTCAGAGTTCATAAAAAATTGGACAAGAGTATACAGAATCAAATTAAGCATTCACACGTCACCTTTGCAGTTGCTAAGTGGACCAATCCTCATCTAGCATTTGATTACTTTCAAACTCTCAACCAGAACTAAAAAAAATAAACGTAAAAAAACAATGTAACGCGTAATGAAGAGCCTTAGAATTTGTAGTGGAGTTGAAAGTACAAGTAGTTGATGTCAATTTTAGTGGAGTAAATGTAGAGCTATTAATGATTAAATCGACTTAAGTAAGGTGTATGTATGT